TAACAGCACGTCTAACAGCAGTTTTTATGACACTATTTAATGTTAATCCTGCTAAACTATCTGAAATATCTTCTATAAGATCATGATCATATTCATCGGCAGAGTGTTTACTTGAATTTTTTCTTAGTAAGTCACTCAAAAAGCGATTAATGGCAGTATTTTCTGCTCTCTTCTTAGATGATTTTTTACTATTATCTAGAGTTTTAGTCACTCGAGACATAGTCTCTTGAAAGGATTTAATGGTAGACTGCAAATCAGCATTTTGTTGAGCCGTTTGAGACTCTGAAGATACCATTGCGGTTTTTATCAAATCCACAATTTCAGTTTTAGTCATTCCTGATTTGTTAGTGTCTATGTAGGGATTGGCTGCCGGAAAAGCAAGAAGAGAAGATGGTGCATTTCTTTGAGAAAGTGTAAATTTTTCCGCTTTAGCTAAGGCTCTTGTGATATTTTCCTGAGTATCCTCAAATTTAGCCATTATTCGAATATTATATTGGTTTATAGGATTTAAGCCACGAATAAATTGCTCTCTTTGTTGTTCAGGTGTCATTCTGGCCAATTTACCAACCTTTTTGATTTGAGTGGAGAACTCTTCAACACCCATATTTCCTTGCATGAGTTAACCAAAAACTGCCATTTGTTTTAAGTATTCAACCGTTGTATAAGAAGTACTAAATAGATAAAGGAGTTGCCCAAGCTTAATACCAGGAGCAATTGTAATAGCAGGGAAACCTCCGCCAGCATTTGGTGTAACTGGTGCATTATCTGTAGGTTCACCACCGGCTATAGACTAGTCTTCATCCCATGTTCCATTCGGAATAATATTAGCACTAGTTGCGACACCTGCTCCAATTCTACCAATTTCTGCTCCAGCTTTGTTACGAAATTCTCCTGCAGTATTCAAACCACCAATCTGATTACCACCATTTCCAGCACCTATTGCTCGAACAGCAGTTAAAGTAGCTACACCTAAGTTATCTGAGAGATTATTACATCTCCAATTTTTGCCCTTAATGCGGGTATTATACCAATTCAATGCAGGGCCCGCAAAACATGATATTACCAATCCAAATGCCTCTTCTCTTCCAGCGACCTGACCTGCACCAGGTGCAATATTTATTTGACTAGCTACAATATATCTTTGCATCTCTTTGAGCCAATTCTCTGGATCTTCTCCAGGACGACTATGAAATATTGGGGGTCCGTATCCTACTATTCCTATTTGTTGTATATTAGGTGGGTTATTCTGTAGCGCAAAAATTTGTTGATTTAAATTTAAAATATTCTGGCGTTCTGCATGGGTCTTATTTTTCTATTTTTCATATTGCTCATAGAGTCTGTCTCTATTATATTCTAACAAACCTCTATCGGCTTTGTATCGCTGTAGGTGGTGGATATTTCGTCGATATAAGATTTGTAAGGCAAAATTTTCACATAGCAATTCACTAATACGGGTTTGTTTTCTTACCATATTATCTATTATTCTATTCACTTGGTTTTGTGCATTAGTTCGTAATTGATGAAGATCAAGCAATACCTGATCTCGCTCCTGCCTGTATATATTCCAGTTCCATCGTTAGTTTACCAGATCTTGTTGCAGGTTAGTGTATTTACGTCGAATTGCCTTTGTTGATCTTTTAATTTGATTTGTTAAAATGGTTCTACATATTGTTGTATTATCTAGAGATTGGTCTATAGCATTGGCCAATTCAGCTATTGTACCCATATTATCATCAGAATTATACAAGTCTAGAGAATTTTCATCAGAATCAAATTCATTTTCACCAAAATTCCATGCCTGTGTATTTTGTAAAGCCTCTTGTGTATTTTTAAATTCTATTCTATCTCGATATCTTAATAATGCTAATGCAAAATTTTGACAAAGCAGGTTTGTGATACAATTTTTTTGTTGATTTATTTTATTAATCCTATTTATTTGATTAGCCCTTATTGTATTTATTTTCGTTTAAGGTGTTCGTTTTCATCCACTAATTTTGTTGTATAATCTTGTGCTTTGGGGTGTTACCCGCAGATTTTGATATCTCCCGTATTCGATTTTTTAATTTTGTTTCGCGTTCATCAAATTCTGATATTAATTTATCTTTATTAGAAATTTCTTTGTCTTTCTTTTTATTTTCTTCCT